CTGGTCGCTCTCGGGTGATGGATAAATGGCCACTTTTCAGTTTCTCTGGAGACCGAGATGGCTCAGAGGGGCTGGGGATCATAGACACATTTACCTTTTTATAAACTAATTTATTTTTAATTTTTTTTAGGATATATTTTCTTCCATTTGTCTTCAGATGGAGGGAGAAGGAGAGGGAGAGAGAGAGAAACACCGATGTGAGAGGGACACATGGACTGGTTGCCTCCCGCACGACCCCGACCAGGGCTGGGGATGAACCACAACCGAGGTTCGTGTCCTGGACTGGAATCGAACCGTGACTCTTTGGTCTGTGGGCTGATGCTCTAACCGCTGAGTAAAACCACCCAGGGCGGCAAGTGTATCTTTTAAAGGAGAAGAAGGAGACCTCAGTTATGCAAAAGAGGTTGAGGCCAAGGTGCGGGAGCATGGCCAGCGGCTCTCCCCGAGTCGCACTGTGGTCCCGGACCGTGTCGGGATGAAGCTCTGGTCCTGGAGCCCTGTCTGGTGCTCTCTGACACCCGGCTGGGGTGGGCAGCCAGGAAGTGGCCAGTTTCCCCTCAGATGTCCAGATGGGCAGATGCCGGTGGGAGCTGGCAGCATGGGTGGGGAGGCAGGTGGCAGTACTGAAGCCAGGGTGCACGTTCCCCAAGGCCCCCCACTATCTTTACAACAATCTTTGCTTTTCTTGGACCAGAATGTGGTCCACATTCCTGAATCGCCCCTTCAGTTCCCCCCTGTGCCCCACTCTCCTCCCTGGTAAAATGTGGGGGTTGGGTGATGGCTCAGCACCCACTTCCTCGCCTTGGGGCTGGTGTCCTTGGGGAGACCCAGCCATCTCACTCAAGACTCACCTCCAAGATCAGGGCACGGAGGCCATGTTTATTCAGATGCCCCTTTTGTTTTAAAGAAGCTCTTTCTTTGGGGCTAAATTGTTCACCTGTGTTAAAACTGCCTTCCCCTGCGTCACCCCGTCTCCTTTGCCACCCTCAGGTCTGCTGCTGGGGGCAGTGGGTGCCAGTGAGCATTGTCTTCCATTTGGCTCAGCTCAGGCTCCCTGCTCAGGCCGCAGCCCCCTCAGGTGGGTCTCGGGTGGACACCACCAGGCCCCTGGCTGGGGCAGGGGGTGTGGGGAATTACAAAGTTAATGGCCCAGAGTTGTTAAAACCAGGTCCATCATAGTACCCAGGAGGCATCAGTGGGTCCTAGGATCTTCACTGACACACTTTAGTTCTTCCTACAGCTCTGGGAGGAGGGAATAATAGGCACTGATAATAATAAGGTCTCATAATAATCATAGAAAACACACTGAGTTTCCCATGTGCCAAAGGGTTTTCCTAGAACCAAGAGGGTCATCTGGATGAAAAAGTTCTCGTCCAACCTTAATTCACCGCATCCCCTTGGTGACCCTAGTCAATCAGGACAGGTGCTATTATTGTCCTCACTTCACACCTGAGAAGATGGACGACTCAGAGAACGTAAGTAACTTGCTCGAGGTCACACGGCCCTGGAGAGACAAGAGCCACACCTTGCCGACTGGAACCCAAGCCCTTTGGCCTCAAAGGGAAGCAGAACTTCCGAGGACTTTGTCTCCGGGCTTCGAGACGCCGTTCTAGATGCAGAACCGCGGGCATTCAGTGTTGGGCCCCGCGGTTTCGCCTCAGTGACCTGCCACAAGCTCCCCGAAGATGGGACCAAGCTGTCGGGGGCTCAGGCCCCTCCCCGCCCCCCAAGAGTACGGACTCTGACCCTCATCCTCAGACGGTTCCATGTTTCTCCCTCTGATGCCTTTACTTTCTGGACGTTACTGAGACATGGCTTCGAGCCTGAAATCCAGTGTTGCGGGAGCTCAGAACCACATTCGAAGGCTCATTAGCACTCAGGTGGCCTTTGGTTCATCTGACTCCTCTCCAGGGCGAGGACCAGCCAGGTGTAACAAACACGTGCTCAAGTCTCTGAAGGGGAGAGGCAGGGGGGGCCCACCTTCCGTGTCTCCTCCGTGACCAGTGGGCTGGGGGCAAACGTGTCTGGAAACCCCGGGCCACTGGTGTTCTGGAGCCTCAGTCCTTCTTTATAATTGTTAATTGACTGCATGGGGGTGACACTGATGAACCGAATTAAACCACTTCCATTGCTGACATTGCTACATTCGTCCCCGATCGGCCATTGCTGGGTAATCTCTAGAGTGAAGAAAAGGAAGGGTTCTCCAGGGCTTACGAAAGAAAAAACAGGGTGACTACTCAGGCTGTTTGGTAAAGTGGGGGAAATCGCGGAGAAAGGGGCCCCGGGGGAAGGGGGGGCGCGTGAATGTGGCCTTGTCTGGCTGCTCCTTCAGCTGAAACCCGGTGCGTGTGCTGAGTTCTGTCCAAACTGTCACCTTCAGTTCTCGCTGGCTTTTCTGTCCTCGGCCCGGAGCCTCAGTAGATTGGGGCTCATTTAACTATTCACACTGGGCCGTGGAAGCTCATTAACAGGCTTATTAGCAACACTATTCACGGGAGGCCATTGGCACAGGGGTTCCAGCCACGTGAAGAGGGAAGAGAAAAAACATGAAGGGATGATTTTCTCATTCCGATGCCTGGCCCGTGTGAAACCTTCCCTGGACCCTCTGGGGTTGCTTGAAGCCTACATATGATGACGGAATTAGTGTTTTGTTTTGTTTTTTAATTCCAAACATGCTTTTATTTTTCTCAAAACTGAGGAGTTTGCTGCTGGGGCCTTTGCTCACTTAAACATGGGCACTCGGGAGGCAAAGGGGCTCCGGGCAGGTGGTGTCCGTTGTGCAAACTGTGCCTGGACGTTGCAGTGGACGGCCTTATCTGTCATTCCTGGGGGAAGGCGTCCTGGTCTTGCTGGGTATGCAGAGCTCCTGGGGCCTGGGCTCGGAGACAAGGCCTTCCTGCACCAGTAATTAATGTGAGAAGGTGTTCACAGCATTTTCAGCAGCCGATGGATACGTTGTCACAGGTCAGGGACAGGGTCTGTCCAGTTGCCTGTCGGTGGGAAAGATAGAGATGTCAATGCTGGCCTCTGTTCCCAGCAGGTGGACATTCACATGTCTTTTTGTGACCCGGGGTCTGAGAACTTGGAAAAGATTGGTCCGCTCAGAACTGCCCAGGTGGGAGCGGACGGCTGAGGGTCCCTTGGCTGAGGGGGTCAGTTAATTAAAGGTCCGGGGCTGAAGCAGATTAGAAGACTTGACCAGGAATATACCTCTCCCGAAAGCAGACAGACTGATCATTTTACTCGAGAATCAGGTTATTTCTCGTGCTGTCAAATGTCCAAAGTATAATGTCATACCCGTTTGCTTGAAGTATTTCAGTGGATTTTGATATTCCTGGCTTTTACATCATTTACACAAAAAGCTGTCTATGACGATGCATTGTGAAGAAAAGGAATTTTCTAATGCTGTGGCACCTTGAAAACATGTTTTTGTAAATGTCAGGAACGGTATCATGTCAGCCACCCAGGTCAACTGCCCTTCTAAACGCAGCAAACTTTGATTTTCGGTCTGTCTGGTTCTCATGGCCTCATCTATCTTTAGGCCCCCAAAGCATTAAAACACTTGTGGGTTAACGAGCTTGCCTGAGGAAAAGTAGTGAAATGTTTTTTTTTTTTAAATATGTTTTTATTTTGGAGAGAGAAACCTAATGCAAGAGATACGTCCGTCAGCCGCCTCCTGCACGCCCCCTACTGGGGATGGAGCCCCCAACCAGGGGAGGTGTCCTGACGGGAATCAAACCGCAAACCGGGACCTCTCAGGCCCTGGGACCACGCTCCGTCCACCGAGCCACAACTCCGGGCAAGGTGTTCACCTACCTGTCATGAACCTAAGCACGGCTGTATAGGAGCTGGATGAGTGAGTAGCAAGAGAGAGTGTATTAAAAAATAAATTATCCGGTAGACACAGCCAAGTGAAAAAGGTAAATGGAAAAGATGAAATTTAAGCAGTTCCCGCTTGGCGTGGAGTGGAAGAATCCGATTTTGAGTTGCAGAATCTAAGATCCAGAGACCAGACTGATGCGCTCAAGGTCACACCACGGTCAACGGGTCAACGGCAGGATTCAGTCTTTAGGATCCTCCGAATTTCTTGTGAGCAATCCAACCATATATACACGTCACTAAACCACACATCTCTGGTTGCAGTGTTTGACCTTGTCCAAGGAAGTCAGATTCAAGGTCAGGATCTGCGGGTGACCAGCCGTGTGGCCCTGGACAAGTCGCTCGTCCTCAGGGTCCTTGTCAGGGATGGAGACGATGACTCTAGGGCGGTTGGGCCGAAGGAGGGGAAGGACCTGTTCAGCGCCCCAAGCCCGCAGCAGGCCTCCCTGGAAACACCCGCGCCTCCCTCCCCGCCCTTGTGTTGGGGGCCAGGGCAGAGCAGGGTCCCGCAGACACCGCTGCTTCCTCGCCTCCCCGGCGTCGGCGGTCCCTCCAAACCGCGGCGATGCGCGCCGCTCTCGCTGAGGGTGTGGCTGCGCCGTGTGTTTACCGACTTGCAATGAAAGGACGTCACGCAGTCGCCCCGTAAACCTTGGTCGGTCTGAGCCGCCAGGAGTGGAAGGGACCCGCGCCGATCCACGGAGGCGGCCGCCGCCTCGCCCGGTGGGGACCGAGGCCCGGCCCCTCGCCTGCCCCGCCGGCGTCTCGCTCGGGCCGCTCGCGCACCGGGAGCCGCGCGGAGTCGGGGCGGCGGGCGCGCGGGCTGATTGGCAGAGCGGGCGCCGCCGTCCAGGAAACGGCTCGGGTTTCAGCGGGGGCGTGACCGCGGGAGGGGCGGCGGCGGCGGCGGCGTTGCGGGCGGCGGCGAGAGCGCCGCGCAGAGCCGAGCGGGCGGGCGGGCGGCGGGTGCGCAGCGGCGAGCGGGCGAGCGAGCGCGGCCGCCACAAAGCTGGGGCGCCGCGAGGTCTGCGCGCGGCGTAGCTGGCCCGGCGCGGCGGCGACTCTCCAGGCTGGCGGGGCCCGGGAGCCCCGAGGCCGCAGCTTCCCGGCGCGTCCGCGAGTCCCGGGCAAAGTTTGGCGGAGGGAACGCCAAGCCTGAGTCCTTTCTTCCTCTCGCTCCCCGAACCCGAGGGCAGCCCGCGGGCGTCATGCCCGCGCTCCTCCGCAGCCTGGGGCGCGCGTGACGCCTCGGAGCCTTGGCGCCGGCGAGGACCCCAGAGCCACTGCTTCCCTGTGGGAGCTCCCCCCGGAGCTCGTCGCTGGCCCCATCCCGACCCACGCCGGCGCGGGGACGGAACCGACCGCCCAGGAGCGTTGCCATTCAAGGTAATCGCCGTGTCGGGCGCCCGGGGAGACTCGCCAGCGGGGAGAGTGGGCGGCGTGGGAGCCGGGAGGCCGGGGGCACCGTCTCGGAGCTGAAGGAGCGGGCGCTCCCCGTCCCTCCCTCTTCGCTGCCTAGGTGATGGGGGAGCTGGGTGCGTGCTGCTGGCTGGGGTTTGGGAAGTTCTGCCTCTGCCACCCCCGACCAGATGCCGACATCTGCCCCAACGCCCCGTCCCTGTCAAACTCCCGCGGCTCAGTCCCCCCGGCCGGGCGCGACCCCCGACCCCAGAGCCGGCTGGTGAGCAGCAGGGCTGCCTCGCTGGTGGCACAGCCCGCAGGTCTGGGGCTCCGAGGGGCATCCGCGGGGTCCCTCATTCCAGGGCCCGGGGAACATCCGCCCTGTGCCACACAGGCCTCGGAAGGGACCCTTCCTCGGGAGGGAACCACTGGAGGGGGGCGGGCGACATCGCGCAGGTTGCTGGAGCTCCGGGTGGCACCTTTGGGGAGGGGCTGCTCGGTGGTCCGAGTTCAGAGCCGGCGCCCCACGGCCGCAGCGCGCCGGGGCCCAGGGGGCGGACTGGACCGACTTCTTGGAGTTCGCTGCCCGCTGCGCTCGGGATGTCGAAAGCGCAGGCGAGTTCTGACTTGCGCGCTCATTCTTTCGGCGTCCGGGCCGCCCTGGGGAATCCGCCGAGGGCCCCGCGGGCGCTGGCTCCGACCTCGGCCTGACGCCGGGCGCAGAGGTCCGGCCCGGGGGCCCCGCGTCCCCGCCGCTCCCCGCGCAGCCGCTCCCTCGGCGGCTCTTCTCCGGGCCTTCCTTCTGCTCGCCCGAGTCAATAAACCTGCTCCTGCTCTTAAAGGCAGCCTCCTCTGCCTCTCGGGGCACCTATTATGTGTTTGGTGTGAAACGCTATCAACATTTAAAACCCTATTGTCCCCGCGGTCCCAAATCCCTGTAAACCTTCCTCTGGTCTCCACTCATTTTCATCTGAAAAGCCTGTTTAGTTTGAATAGAAAAGCAATCAGGCGACCCTCTCCCTTCCCCTGGAATGTCAATTAAAATGCAGATTTCTTTGAGTTCTTTAGCGCGCGGAGAAGGGGGAAAAACAGGATATTCCAGGCAAACGCATGAAAGAAATGCTACAATGAGACTGGGTTTTGGTGGACGGTTCCTGAGCTGCAGGTCCTCTGCTGGCCAGTGCTGGGGAAGAGGGCTGTGGTCCCGGGTCAGCCTGTGTTGTGTATTTTTTGAGGTTTCGGTGTGTGGAGGAGTCCCCCCCGCCATCCTCGCAGGCCCAATTAGACCCCTTGATAGCTACCACTCCTACTCTGTCCTGGAGAGAAGGGAGTGCCCGGGAGGCTTGAGCTGGAGATAGATCTGCCCCCCTGGGGGGACCTGGGCATGCCCCCCTCCCGCCCACACTTGGCACTGTTGACTTCCCTGAAGTGAAGCGTACCAAGAACAAAGCACACAAGTGCTCAGAGTGGGCACGCCGCGCGGACAGACGGACAGCTAACCAGAGGTGCAAGCTGATGACGGCGGGCAGTGCGTTGGCTCGCCTTCCTGGAGCCAGGGAGTTTGGGAATGTTCTAGCACACGGAGGAGACGAGGATAGGGCTCGTGTGGGGACTGCTCCCGGCCGGGCTCGTGTGGGGACTGCTCCCGGCCAGGCTCCCTCGATGGTCACTTCGCCCGTCTTTGGGGGCAGGCTTGTGCCGAGGTGAAAATGGACCAGGGGAGCGGGTGGTCATGAGGAGCCATCCGTCACGGGGAGGGTGACAACTCCTCCCAGGGCCAAGCCGAGAAGAGAGTTCCCTTTCAAGGGGAAAAATAAACAGGCTTTCACTGAGGCTCAGACTCCAGGAAGGATTATGGTATTGAAGGCAGGAAGCCGGGATTGTGGCCGCCAGCGGCCTGCTGGGCCTGTGTTCCCAACACCGAGCCTCGGGACCTAATTCTCCCGCCTAGGAGGTCCCTCTGCGTTCGTCCTCATCGGAGATTCGGGAGGGGACTGCCATGAGGCCTGGACTTGGAAAGGCCTCCAGTTCAAGGTTCTGGTGCAACCTGACAGGATGAATGAGTGGCATGAGCCTGGGCGGAGGGTACTGTCCACCTTCCCCTGCCCACAGAAAGGAGACTCCTCTGGGCTGCCACGGGTGGGGGAGGCGGCTGGGGAAGGACGCAGCCTGGGGTGAAATCTGCACGGATTTCAGATTGTTGGTGAAGTTGTCAGAGGCAGAACATTCCCATGCATTCTGGAAATGCTTAGTAAATCAATGAGAATGTTTGTGTCCTTACCTCCCACATGTATGTAGAAATAGATACGGCATTATCTTTTGAGGCTTTTAACTTTAAGAGGAAAGAAAAGTTGGGGGAAAATAATCCTTCAGGCGATCTGAAAACACAGGGTGTGTAGACACACACACAGACAGACACACACACACACACCCCCACACACACCCCGCACACTTTTGCTGTGAATCACACTATTTCACATGTGCTGTCCTTGAGCCAGAGATGTCATGGGGCTCCCTCTTTTCCCCATTTCAACCCATGGTCACAGTTTCTCTGGTGCCGCTTTGGGGAGGCCCAGGCAGTGTTGAAATCCTCTGTCATAATTTGAAACATCAAGTTGGCGTGCAAAAAGCATGGGGTTTGAGACAGTTTTGGGGGAAAGGCCTCACCTCCCCACCCCTAATGTTATAAAATGTGGTTCATCCGCAGTGTTCCCAGAACCTGATTGTTTTCATCCAGTTCGCTCCGTGTTGTGCCTTTCGGCTCCCCACTTAGTAACCGAGGACACCGAACACATGTAAAGTTCTTTGAATGTTTTAAGCTCAGGGAATTCTCTCTGCCTTCGGATCAAATGGGTGAACAGAATAGTAGGTTGAGCGCCCCCTTGTAAAAATTTCTGCTCTGACATTGTAGCCAAGAGATTAGCATGTGCAAAGTTATTGGCCCAATCACGACGGTGACAGTCATTCACCAGTCATTCACGTATCATCGTCATTAACACACTCCTGGTTGCTCGGCAGAGGTCCCCAGTCTCCGGGGTTATCCCATGCCGGGCAGATGGGAGACGTTCGCTAGGCCCGGGCTGCCGTGGGGGCCGTGGAAGGGGATCCCGTGCACTTCCCCGTCTCTCGATCAGCCGCTCTGAATGCACTTTTGGTGAAAGACTGCAGTCCCTTTCTGCGTTGGAAAATGAATCTTGACAAGTGTAAACTGGTGGGAATTTTTGGTAGCTTTCCTGGGATTCTTTCTATTTTGCTGCCCTCCTTTCTTAGCCCGCCGGTGAGGATGGAGCCCGCCGCCAGCCCCAGCCCTGCAGGCATCAGTCTGCACGCAGCTGCCTCCAGGGTTCGGCTCTCCGAGGCCCACTTGGCCTGAGCGAGGTTCAGGAGGCTGGTTATGCCACCTGAGCACTGTTAACTCTCCTACTTGCCCTTGAAACGAAGGTCATGCGGCTTCTGCTTTCTGAGGGCGGAAGGCGATGTTGGAGAGGAGAGAGGGCCACCCTGCCTTCCTCGAGTGGCCGTGCGGATATGTGTCCTGTAGCTGCGCTTTTTATCTCTGTCTCTCAAAAGTATGCTTTTGCCAAGATCCGCCTCACACGATCCGCGGCGCTGCCTGGTGGAAACACCTGGGATCCCGAGGCGCGCAGGAGAGGCCCTTGCAGATGCTGGAGAAAAACTGCTTGCAGTGGCTGAGCAGCCGACTCCGGCCGAGCCCACTGGGGTTTCAGGCACGGGCGTGGGGCGGACGGCACTGACCGGAGAATCTCTTTCCTCCAGAGGCTGCAGCGGAGGCCGCGGCGCAGAGGTTGCTGAGCCCACCGCAGGCTGAAGGGTTGCTGGCAGTCCATGCTCACTGGGTGTGCAGATGGGATTGCCGTCCACGTGGAGATGTGGGAGAGGACGGGGCCCCGGCACCGTGACCGTGGTCAGCTGGGGCCGCGGCATCTGCCTGGTGGTGGTCACCATGGCAACCTTGTCCCTGGCCCGGCCCTCCAGTTTGGTGAAGGACACCACATTGGAGCCGGAAGGTAAGTTCTCTGATCTCACGTTCAGGGTACTGGGGTGGTCTGGGGGTTTGTCTGGGGAAGTGGCACCCCCAGGTCGAGGCCTGGCTTGGAGTCAGCTGTCCTTGCCTTGGCAGTCAGTCTTCTCAGATTAGGGTGCCTGTTGGACTGCAGGCAGCGCCGGGTGGTCGGTGTTTTCTCGGGGGTGCGTGTCTCTGTGCGGGGCCAGGGGGGCTGGCGCGTCACCTTTCCGGTGCCCAGGAGAGCTGCGGAAGGGAGGGGCGAGGGGTGCCCCCCGGAGCCCTGCAGTGCGGTCTCACTGGTCGGGAGTCTCGCCCACCACGGCGAGAATTGCTGTTTCCTGACAAAAGGAGCCACTAAGGGAAATTGCCAACGTCTGAAATGCTGACATTTTATTTTCATTGTGTAAGGGCAAAAGCAAGCTTCTGAAGTTTAGCCCAGGGATGCTTGACGTGGTTGATCTTTTCTTAAGCTGTTGTGATTCATAATGCTTGAGTGATACGTCAGAGAGCGGCCAGTTCTGTTTTGGGGCGTCTCCCACCCTGTGGGAACGCCGGGGTCCAGCGGGGCTGCTGGGTGGGTCAGCCTCGGAAACCTAGTTTGAAAGGCCTGCGGCCAGTGTGAGCACAGGTGGAGGCCGAGTTATCCTGCTGGGCAGGTCGGCCCCTCCCTCCCAGTCTCTGTGACATTAGCCAAGCCTACTCGGTGCAGCGTGGACATCTGTCATCGGTAGGGTATATTGGGAGCTGAGTTATTTTTCGAGTGGTAATCCGAGAATAAAACGGCAGATCTCGGCAGTCATCGCCACTTAATGAACCTGTTTGCCGAGAGCCCACCTGGTGCCTGCTTAGTTCTGGGGGCTGCCGCGGTCCTGAGTGGTCCGGGGCCGGCTCAGTGTTCTGGAAGAGCACCCCGAGAGGCAGGCTGGGGGAGGACAGGAAGGCCTGCCCAGGACAGGATGGGAAGGAGGGCCATGCTGAGGTGGGGACCCCAGGAGCCCCCGAGTCACAAGCCACGAAAGGACAGCGGGGCAGGTCTTTTTCTGGCACGGAGGGGGGCCGAGCGCTCTCTTTCTAGCTCAGGTGCGGAGGCTTTGTCATGAGCAGGTGTGGCGACATCATGGGGAGTGAAATCGGAGGGGTTGGCCCCCGAGGTTCTACCCAGGGGACTGCCCTCTTGTGACTCAGCACAGATGTAGTTGGCGATGGTGAAGCATTGCTTTAAAAATCGATTTTTAGAGAGAGGAAGGGAGAGAGGGAGAGAAACATGGGTTTATACATTCATCGGTTGCTCGTTGTATGTGCTTGATGGGGATCGAACCCAGAACCTTGGCGTCGAGGGGACCACACTAACCGGCTGAACTACCCAGCCAGGGCAATGTTGATGCATTTTTTAAAGGGCTTACAAGTTACCGGTTTCTGAAAGTCATGCCTGTACTTCTTTAATTTTGCTAATAATTAAAATGGATGTTTCCCTAATTGCCGGTTTTCCCCCGAGTGCGGCTCAGCGCGGAGGCCGAGGAGCCGGGCTTTCCGGCAGCGTGAGCCCAGCAGCGGCCCAGGTTGGGAAAAACTGTCATTTTTCATTTGGACGCTCAGGGCAGCGTTATTGGGAGTTTATTTCAACATAAAATGTAAAACGGTCCTGGAGGACTTTGTTTATCGCATTTAATTATTGAGGAAAGTTTAAAATATGTGTGTACATGCCGGAAGGAGGAGCCGAGGCAGAGACTCAGGCAGGGCAGGGGTGGGGTCCCCCCCAGTGGTTCTTTGTGTAAATTTGTATCCAACAGTGGATTGCTGAAAGAAAGCAGGTCTTCCCAACCTGGGATCTGAGGGTGCATCCTAAGGGGGAGGTCCATGAAATCCCGAAAATTACAGGTCCTGTTTTGCAGGCGTCCTTCTGTGCATTTTTCTGGGTTCACAGCCGCTATGAAGTTTGCATCCAGGGTTGTGAGAGGTTAAAACAAACACACACAAAAGCTTTAGTGGAAGATGTAAAACCCCGTGAAAAAGCGGCTTTGGGAAAGCGTACGCACCCCTGGGCCTCAATTTCTCTTCCTGCGTCTGAGGGTTCGATCAGGTGATCTTCAGGGACCGTTCATTAATGTTAAACGAGTGTTCATATCCTCAGAAGTCTTCTGATGACCTCCCTCTAAAGGTCGCCAGAGCACGAAGAGCTGTGAGCCCAGGGCCTGGCATTTAATAAACTCTCAGGACACGTTATCATTTTCCCGAGCGAGTGGGGCGCCTGCGTCTCCTGTCCTCCGGGGGGGCGCTGGGGGCTGGCGGAGCCTCAGCCATAGTATTGGATACAATGTATCCAGAAGAAAGTTGCTGTCTGATGCAGGAGGTCCTCCCTGTTTCCAGGCAGCCGTGTGTGTTTTCCGCAGGGTCTGCACTTGGCTTGTCTGTCAGCCCAACACTGACAACTGATGGGAGCCCTAAGACGAGTTCTCCACTGTGGGAGCTTTGCTCTGGTGTCCGGGGTGATTAGGAAGGAAATGTAGTCAGAGACGAGGAAGGAGTTTTTGAGGACTGGAAGCAGACTGCCCAAGGCACAGGCTGCGTCGTGCCGCGCGGGGGAGAGACACTGACCCCGTCCACAGAAGTCCGCCAGCGCCCGTCGGTCCCCCTGGGTACCCGCGCTGTAGCTTTGGTTAACAGTGCGTCCAACCTTGACCTTTTATTGCACAAGGCCTTATCTTGGAAGACTTTGAGGTTTGTTCATTTGGAAGCTCAGTTTAGATAATTCTGTTGGGCTGGACCAGAGACACATGTGACTAAGTTCCAGGAAGGAGCCTGAGCCCCAACCCCCAGGATCCTGTCCTGGTCACTCGGCTTTGTGCAGTATCGTGTCATAGCACAAAGTGTATCATCCAATCATCTGTTTTCCCCACACTTTCTGAAGTGGGAACAGTAGGGTCGGGTCTACTCATCTGAGTTAATACGAGGACATACGAGAATGGTCTCTAGAAGATTTTAAATGTTATTATCCCACATTAAAAATGGATATTGTCAACTGGTCATCCAAGGGAGCAGGGGACCAGCTGGAGGGTACAAACTCAGTTATTGAGGCAACGGAGGGTAGTCCTCAATGTCAAGTGCTGTTCCGTTGATTAATATTCTAATTATTTGAAGTATAGTCAAGCTTGGTCACCCTGGGGCGGAGGCAGCTCTTACTTTCAAGTTCTTCCTGACTTTGTCACCTCCTCCGGGTTAATTAAGTCATTGTTGACATTAATGACACCCTTGTTTACACCAGCCCAGTAGGGGCTGAAATAAAAGGGCTTTTCCAACCCCAGAACTTTAATTACTTTCCCACTCTCCGCAAAGTGTGATTCGGAAAAAGCATCAACCTGGGAAGAAAGTAGTTTGCATGTTTTTTGTTTTGTTTTGTTTTCTTTAAACCAGTTTTTTGGCAACCTTCTAAGAGGTGATGCTGTCCTGGACCCGTGAGAGTTGGTGCAAAGTTCAGTAGCAGAGAGGTTGCGTGAGGGGTCCGTGGAACCCCCTCCCGGGTCAGACTATTCCAGTATGGTTGGTGTCCTTTGTAAGACGATTGCAAATGCCAAAGTATCAGCCATACGCATTTAATTGCAAGTTAAAAGCAAAGAAAAAAGAATATGTCCGCATACCAAGAGTGAATGATTTAAAATAATCTTCTGTTTTGTATTATCTGCATCTTTGTTCCTCCGTTTGAGTGTTAATATTTAAGAGTTGACTGTAACTTGATAGTTAGCTTAAGAACAAGGACTTATTCTTGGTCAGTTAAACCAAATGCAGGCGTATGCAGTTAAACACACAATGAGGTACACATTCTTTATTAGTGTATAAAGTATTTCACAATTCATAGACAAAGAGCTGTGTTTAATATTATTTCTAGAGCAAAGTTTGGCACGCCCAGAGAACTGGTATTTGTATACTTTCTCGACAGGCTCCCTGTGACCGAGTGTGGGTGTGTGAGTTTTGCCTGTTTATTTTTAACTCCACGAAACTTTGAGTACCTACTACGTGACCAGCCCCACCCACACCAGGCCCTAACCGAAGACTTCCAAGTTTTTCCGGCCCAGTTAAGGGTGAGAATTCAAATAAGCAGAGCAATCCGATCCAACATGTTTCCAGTGTTAGACTTAATGAATAATTACATGGTTATGAAATAACCGAGGTGGTGTTTAAACAGGAAAGGTTTGGTTTAATGTTCACGTTCTCAGTCCAGTGTAGCCAGTACCCTCTGGTGTGCAGTCTGCGTGGTGTTGACTTTGTCCCGGGTACTGGGTAAGGGGCTGCTACCCTCTTTCATGAGAACGTGACTTAATTTTGCATTTCTGTGTAAGGTGTCTGATGTCAGCCTTTCAGGGACAATGTTTTGGTTTTGGGGTGCCAGTGTCTCAGTGGGCAGTGCAGCTGGCTTGCTGCTCCCCACGGGACCGGGTGGATCCTTAGCAAGGTGACCTGTTCTGGTAGGCAGTTCAGTTCTTGCGACTGTCTGACCGTCCCACCGATGGCTCTGGCCCACTGGCTTTTCTGTGGTTAGAACGTCCACGGCCTTTATTCTCGTTGCGTTCTCCTCGAGGGATGACTGAGCTGCAGGTTTTGCTTTTATTTTATTTTTTATACTTTCGCTGTATCCAGGTGAGGTTTTCAGATGGCTCTGCTTCCACAGCTCCTGGCATGGACACGCTTGACGTGCTGCCTCCCCCCCCCCCCCCCCGGCCTTGCGGTCTTAGTGTGGCCCCCCCCGCCCGGCCTTGCGGTCTTAGTGTGGCCTCTTGTAACTGCTGGTGCTGGAGGCCACGCAGGGCTGAACATCAGCCTGACAGATAGCGGGCTGGAAGTTTGGCCTTAGCCAGAGACATGGATTCTGATTATTATCTGAGAAGGACAAGCCCGTCAGAACTCCGCTTCGACCTGGAGGGGGCCTTGAACCTGTTTTTAAAGCCACGTGTCACTGGTGTCCGTTTTGGGGAAAATGTTTGTCTTCCTGGGAACCCTTAGGCCTCC